CCCCCACGCCCCCTTGGCACCCAGCCCGGCCTCCCCTTGCCCGCGGGCCGCATCCACCAGCATTCCGGCGCCCCTTGCCCGCGGGTCGCGTCCACCAGCGTTCCGGCGCCCCTTGCCCGCCAGCCCTTAGCGCGCTTCAACCCTCGGCCCGACACTTCCCCATGCTTCGACCCTCAGTACCGACCAGCCCTTACTGGCCCAGCCCCTCCCCTGCCCCGTCACCGCCAGTGTCCCGCTGGCCCTGTGCGGTTCCGGCCCAGTTTCTGCTGGACCCCACACGGGGCACTTTGCATGCGTTAGTCGTAACCCCCTGGCACCCAGCCCTGCCCGTGGACCACGTCCGGCAGCGTTCCGGGGCACCGCTTGGGACCCTCGCCCGCTGAGTGGTTCCGGCCCAGTTTCTGTTGGGCCCCACATGGGGCCCTTTGCATGCGTTAGTGGTAGGCCCCTGGCACCCAGCCCAACCTTCCCCTGCCCACCCCTGGCACCCAGCCCTGCCCGTGGACCGCGTCCAGCAGCGTTCGGAGGCACCGCTTCTGACCCTCGCCTCGCCCACTGAGCGGTTCCGGCCCAGTTTCTGCTGGACCCCACATGGGCCCCTTTGCATGCGTTAGTAGTAGCCCCCTGGCACCCAGCCCGGCCTTCCCTTGCCCGCAGATCACGTCCACCAGCGCTCCACCTTCCCCCGCCCCATCACCGTCAGTGTCCCGCTGGCCCTGTGCGGTTCCAGCCCAGTTTCTGCTGGGCCCCACACAGGGCCCTTTGCATGTGTTAATAGTAGCCCCCTGGCACCCTCCCCGGCCTCCCCTTGCCCATGGTCTGCATCCGCCGACGTTCCAGGGCACCACTTCTCCCCCTTGCCCACTGAGAGAGGTTCCGGCCCGGTTTCTGCTGGGCCCCATGCGGGACCTTTTGCATGCGACAGTAGTAGCCCCCTGGCACCCAGACCGGTCTCCCCTTGCCCCCGCTACCGGCCCGGCCCTTCCCCGGCCCCGTCTGTGTCCCACTGGCCCTGTGCGGTTCCGGCCCGGTTTCTGCCGAGCCGCACGCGGGGCAGCGTTAGTAGTATAGAGAATACGGTCATGAGGAATATTGGTATGCATAGTTGTGAAGTCAACAGTGTGAGGAGCATGGTCAGGAAGAGAAGATGAATTACATTTGAGATCGAGCATCACCTCCTCGACGCTTTGCACAATCCAGCAAATGGACTCGAAATGCAAGTCGGTAGTGTGACCATTATCGCCCAAAAAGACATCAGAAGTCTCATTTAGTGGGTGTTAGATTCAGATCGCAAGGAATGGCGGACTTAGTCCAGAAATAATTAGACTGCAAACATTTAGTCGGCCTGCAAAAACAACTGTCTTGCTATGCCTGACGTGGCATCCCGGTACATATTGGCCTTGTTTTGGCCTCTTTCCCTTTTCTTTTTTTTTGTTTGCTTTAGTTGTTTTTTCTTTGAAAGGGATATGTTTTTCTTGTTTTTCTCTTGGTGATTTTTCGCCATTTTCGTTGACACGGCCAATGCCATCAGCCGGGATAAGGAATCTTGTGCATTGACCAGTAAAGTCAGTAGTTCGATCTCCTCAGGGTCGGTTGCTGACGTCAGTGCTATAATCTGAACCGTTGTTGGGCGACCGGCCAGGCTAATCGGATCACCCGCCAGGCTAATCGCCTCTGGCGTTCGTCTGCTCCTCTTTCCTCGACACCGCCTCGTCCTCCTTTCCCACCTCTTCATCTGTTCCTTTTTCTCGGTACCCATGTCCTACTGCTTTTCCTCCTCCATGACCTCCTCTTTCGTCTACACCACCTCGAACAGAGGGACTCACCGCGATGACGGCCGACCACACGACGCGTTCATTCCTAGATCAAGGAGTTCATTCCAGGATCAACCACTTACCTTTCCTATTCCTCCATGTCCCCCTCTCCCGTCTACACCACCTCGAACAGACAGACTCACGGAGATGACGGCCGACCGCATGGGTGAGAACAGCCCCCGTCTACTCAAACCCTGTCGCACATCCCAGTCAAGCACCCACCTCGCCACACGACGCGTTCATTCCCAGATCGAGGCGTTCATTCCAGGATCAACCACCTACCTTTCCTATTCCTCCATGTCCCCCTCTTCCGTCTACACCACCTTGAACACACGGACTCATGGCGATGACGGTGGACCGCATGGGTGAGAACAGCCTCCGTCTACCCAAACCCTGTCCCACATCCCAGTCAAGCATCAACCTCGCCACAAGACGCGTTCATTCCTAGATCGCGGCGTTCATTCCAGGATCAACCACCTACCTTCTCGTCTTCCCCCTTCTGTTCCTCATTTTCACTTGCCCATCCTCTCCGCATTTTCACTTTTCCAATGTTTTCGTCATTTTCACATTCGTCTACTTTCCTCACTTTCACTTTCGCCTCCTTCCTCCTTTTCACATCCCCATCCTTTTCCTAATTTTCACTCACAGCCCGTCCTCGTGAGCTTTCTTTCATCCTCCGACAATTACCTCGCTCTCCTGCTCTTCCTCCTATCGATCTTCCCCTTTTGCTGTACTGTTTCGGTCGTCCCTAGGCCCCATCTTCCTGCTGTGGTGTTGTCCTCATCTACTGTCTTGGCCTTCCCTACCCCCCATCTTCCTGTTGTTGTTTCGTCTCTACTCCCTTGGAATTCACTCTCCTCCTCCTCCTCCCCTTCTCCTATAACTTCATTTCTTCCTCCCGTTGATCTTCTCCACGTGCCATTCCTTCCATCTCCAACTTCCTTTTCATATTCCTTGCCCTGTTTTCTTTTTTCCTTCCTTGCCCTGTTTTCTTTTTTCCTTCCTTGCCCTGTTTTCTTTTTTCCTTCCTTGCCCGCCTCCTGCTCCTATCTCCTCCTCCGCTGCTGCTTGTCCTGTTCTTTGTTTCCCTCTTTGGCCTCCTGCTCCAATCTCCTCGTCCTCTACCCCGTCGTCGTTCTCCTCTTCCGCTGGATCTTCTCTGTTTCACTCCTCTTGAACTCCCTCGTCTTCTCTCCTTCATTGTCGTCCTCCTAAAATCCTCTACCTCCTTGCGATAAGAAATCTAAGTACATCGTCTTCATCTTTCTCTCATTCAAGCGACCGTCATTCGACGGTAGATGGGAGAGATCGCAAAGAACGCCCAGTAGTACCACCTGGGCGCACTCATATAAGGTGAGAGCGAGAATTTCAAGCTACCGCGTGGCTTAGAGCCCGAGAAAGGAAGTAGGGTCAAAAGCCATTCAGGACTCTCTCTCTCTCTCTCTCTCTCTCTCTCTCTCTCTCTCTCTCTCTCTCTCTCTCTCTCTCTCTCTCTGTGTGTGTGTGTGTGTGTGTGTGTCTGAGTGTATCTGTCACGCTGGCAATCGAGCACGCACGCACACAGACATGCACTTCGATCCACCTGCGCGGATCCGTATAGTAACTGTACGGATATGCATACAAGTAACTCGTTGATTTACTTTCCTTTCTCTCTCAATTGATATACATGTGCATATATTGTCACAGCCCCTCGTTTGTTGTCCTCTTCTCTCTCTCTGCCTACGGTTTACCGCGCAGTTCTATTTGTGACGATATATTGTCACACTGTGAATCGGAGCGCAAAGGCGGAAGAGAAGATATATACATATATAAACACAGTTGCCCGGTAAACCGTAGGCACAAAGGGAGAAGAGGACAACATATATATCGTGATAGTCGGTGAAACTCCGACGAAACAGTTTGTCACTGCCCCTCGTTTGTTGTCCTCTTCTCCCTCTCTGCCTAAGGTTTACCAGGCAGCTCTGTTTGACGATATATCGTGATCGAGAACTGCCCGGTGAACCGTGGGCAGAGAGGGAGAAGAGGACAAAAAGTACATATGCATCAGTTCCATGACAAAAAACTGTCCGTCAAGCACCAAGGTTGATCGGGCTCAGCCACGTGGCGATGTTAGTTTCGAAATTGGTGAAAGAGAGGAAGTATTGGAAGGAAGGGGTAAGGAGCGCAGGAAGGGGGAGGAGGGACGAAAGGGACGTAGGAAGTAGGGGAGCAAGGAGGGCTGTTATGTAAGAGAGGGACGGCGGGAACCAAGAAAAGCAGGAAGAGGAAGCGATAAAGGAAAGGAAACGAACGTACTCGATCTTTCATCCTCCATTTTGACACGGGACCGCTCTCGATCGGATCGTGCGTCGACTCGCCCGGCCAGTGACGCTCCCTGTTGAGATAAGTGACTCGCGGGATGTTAATATCTGGTGGCTCATCGCGGCGATAAGCACCCGACGCCGCCGCAGTGCCCCGGCTATCCATGAGGTGATCGCTATATCCTCCCCCTCCTCTGCCTATCTCGAATCACGGGATTGATTGGATTGATGGGACTGATTGGATTCTTGACTGGACTGATCGAATTGGATTGACTGATTGCTTGCGAAATGGATCGGTCCCAAGGCACGTAGATTGATCGACGGAGGCGAACGACCTGACGAAGAAGCAACTCCAAGTGTCAGTGCAAGTCAGCAGCGTCTGTGATATCGTTCGTCGCTTTCCTGCCGCAACCAGCTAACAGAGAAGTAGCTCCACGGATGGGTCCGGAGGCAGAAAACTTTGGATCCCTCCTCATTGCCGTCTTACCTACGCTCGGGCAATCCACAAAAACCAGCTCTGTTTCTGCTGCCATTCGTCAATATCGGACGGACTGTGCTCGTGAAATCTAAGAACTGTGCTCGGATTGAGTAATTGAGAGGAGCAAAGTTCGACGTCCACCATTACGTGCACTCTCCAAGGGCACTAAAATGAATTACACCCCAGCCATAGCCGTGGATCTAAGGATTCTGCGCCCACAAGCTGTACGCTTTGCCTGTTTGTAGTGTAGCGGATAGATCCCCTATGGATGATGCAGTGATCAGACACCCGATTTGATTCACGTTAGGGTCCCGAGCTGACTCGTTCTGCTCGCCTGGGGCCTATTCACTGACGCCCTACGCTGCTCATCACTGACCTCGCGCTCCCATCCTCCGGCACTCGGCGTCCTGCAGATTCACAGCCGCCGCTGCTGCTCATGAGTCAGGCCGCCCGCTTTCACCATCCTCCACTCCCCGACAGTCAAGCCGATACGCGAGAGCTAGCAATAAGCCCTGGACCCCACAGGAAAAGTGTTGGAAAAGTGACGAGTTTCGGGTTTCCGTGGAAGGGTTTGCCTGCGGAATGACGGGATCCCACCGGAGTGGCTGGAAAAGCCAGTTTCCACGAGCTTGGAAAGGCTGGTCAATGATTCACGATTGAGGGTGGGCTATCCCTCCTAGTACGTACCTTAGGGCCTCGTTCGACACCACTACAAATGTAAGGATCCTTACAAAATCATCGTGTAAGGATCCTTACAAAATCATGGTTCCACCACTCCCTAATGACAACAAAATGGATCCCTAAACCTGCCCAGACAAAAGGACAGAGGGAGCCTTCGGAGGTGACTAGAAATGTAAGGGTGGGACCCTACGGATTGCCCAGCAGGTAGAGGTCCTGACACCCGGCCCTCCTCACCTGAAATGTAATGGCGGGTGAGTGAAGGACTTCCTCACAGGCTGTGAAACGAAAAAAAAAGTTAGGGTAAATTAATCACCCTGGCCCAGTTAGGGCGCCCTTACAATGTAAGAATTCGTAAGTGGTGTGGAACGAGGCCCTTAGAGTTGAGGCTGGCGTAGCAATCTTTAGTACGGATGTCGGGGGTGTCAGGAGATACTGCACCTTACCGCGGGGCTGGAACGGGCTCCAGGGATATACGAGGGAACGGAGGATCCCCATCTCTCTACCATCAACATCATAGTACACTCTAGTAAAAAGAGAACGTAAGGATAAAGAAACTCAGTCCATAACTCATTACCTAGGGTTAACTATCCTCCTAGTACCTAGCATAGGGTTGAGGCTGGCATAGCAGTTCCTTAGTACGGGATGTCGGGGGTGTTATGGCCAGAACGGGCTCCAGGGACATACGAGGCTTGTAGCATGTTCAAAACTAACTCCTGAAGTCCCCGTGCAATCAGGCTTGCACGGCGTCTGCTTCAACCGGGGCTGGGCAGGGGGTAGGCATCTCTGCTTAGCCCCGGTACCTGCAACCGTTGTCTGGTCAGGTCACCCCGCAAAGATGGCAATGGGTGATGGTCCTGGGGCGTTAACACTAGGGTAGGACGGGGGGTGGGGGTGCGCCAGGGCAAAAGATAAGAGGAAGGGTGGGTGGGGTCTTTAGAGGGGTTCATCTGGACAACCGAGTGGGCGAGTATTGTGGGTGATTGCCATCCGTCTAATATCCCACCTCTACAACAACCTGGGCTTTTTATAATAGAAAAAAAAAAAAGGTTGGAAACTGAAGATGGACCGGATGGTGATTGCTGATGTCCGGCCTTGCGCCTTTTCCATTGTCCACCCTTATTGCGACAACAGCATGTCTGTAGCCCTGTGCAGTGGACCAGGGAACGTCGTCAGGCGGACTATGGATGGACCGGTGGGTTGGCGAGGAGTTTCCAACCATTGACATGCCCCCCCCCCTTTCTCTCTGGAAATGGCACAAAAACACAGCGGAAACTCCTCCACAACCGATGTGAAAACGAAAAATGTGGTTTTTCCAGATATTGTTTTTCAGGCTGTGGGGTTGAGGAAAATCTCACCGCCGTCCTAAAAACGGCTTTCTGGAGGGTCTGGTTTATCTGATGGAGTCCGAGATAAGCTTTTCCACGCCGGTTTTTCCCTGTAGGGAGTATGCCTAAGTATAGACCTCGGCTCCGCTCCAAGCCGCTCGTCGGACTTGAGAGCGCAAAAATATGTATGGCGCTTGTTTATTTCTGTCAATCAATCCTCGACAAAAATTGCACTCGCAATTTTATGCGTTTCGTTCGCAGCCCCATAGTTCATTGCCTAGGGCAACTTGAAATCATGAGAGGCTCTCTCTGAAGATTTTGGGGCTCGGGGAAGACTCAAGCGAGGGAGCTCGTGGGCCCAAGAAAGAGGGGGTGAATGGGTTGCAAATTTTCCTTCTGGTTCATTGCATGCATGCAGAAAAACACACGGACACAGAAGGTCCAGAACACCCTGCTCCGATGACATACTATTCTTTGGCTTTTGTTAAGGAATATTATGGCTTCAACACACACAAGGGACCTCACCACATCATTCATGAACCAAAATCAAATTATACAAGTCATGGAAGAGTGAGGTTTGCCTCGCACTAGCGGACGTGTTTGAACTAGGCGTATAAGTCAGTCGGTAGGTGCAGTGAACACCTTGTTATGACCTCAATGAAAAAGACTACGGAAAATAGTAGATCTGCATGACACCTTCTCTGCAAAAGAAATTTTTGACCTTAAGTGCAGTTGGTGTGACAGTAAAGGGACTAACGCTTAAACCATCTTGCTTACTTTCGATAGGGCAATGAGATGTAGGTGATGTTAGACCTTCGCTTAAACCTTTCCATGTTTGAACCATCCAGTTGAATCTATGGTGTTAGAGCTAGGTACTTGACTAATTTTCTGATGACATTTCTCTTGAGTTATATGTTGAACTCATCCATATATGCCAAATCTTATTTTAGTAAGTCAGTTTAATATCTATTTATGTGAGACTATGTGCTTGATGTTAATTTATCTAATGGTTATCTTTTTAAGGAATATTCACATGGGTTATTTATCTAAGGTACCTATTTGAACTTATCAGTTTGCAATGACTTACGTGAGTTTCTCAAGTCCAATTATTCACTTATATTTATTTGATTAAGTTTATTCGTTTGGATTGCACTTCAACAAAGGGGTAGAGACATTGCGCAAAAACAACGTCTGATATATATTCAGAGGCGAATGGAGTGACCGATTCCCTGAGATAAGTGTCTTCTCATGGAATGATCGATATGTAAGGTCTACCCTAAAGGAGGTTGCAATCCTATGTTATTGTTCCCTTGAAAGATAACTTTGAAGAAGTTATAATTTTGTGTTGTAAGTACTAGTGAGACCCACGCCGAAACTATGTTCCTGATCCATAGTGGGGTGTTGTTGTCTAATCACCTGTGATAAAATGACTACACTACTACTGAATAGGTGAAAAATATTTGAGCCTTGTCAAACCATCGCCTATGAGGGAAGTAGCTACTACGTGTCGCAGAGAGGTAGGGATTGAATCCCCAACTATTTTTGTGTTAAGTGGGTTCACTAGCAAAGGACGAGATAGCATATTCTGAAGCGCGTATGGTGAGGTTGTTAACTTTATCGGTAAGGGTCTGCAAGGAGCAGGTGCTAGAATCGGAGGGAGAAGCATTGAGGACTGATCCTTGAGCGGGGCTCGGGGACTTAAGATGCTATCCATTCTAAAAAGGATTACATTGCCCCTCGACATAGTATACTTCCGTCAAAGTGAGGAAGTAGAGTGTACTACTATCATTATTATTGTGTCTGGTAATACGTATTATTGACAAAATTTATCTTGATTCTATCATTATAAAGGATTTGTACATGCTTCTAGTTAATTGATTGACTTGCGGGTATTATGGGTATTATGAACGACAATTACTGAGGTAATATCTTAGTTTTTATTGGTAATTATTATTATGAATTTTAACATCGTGAGCGTATTACTATTGCGATGGTCGCAAACACTGGAAATGATAAATTTTGGTAAAAGCTAACTCGTTTATGACTTCAAGAGTAGGAAGTACAAAAAAAGGTTGTCAGCATAGTAATGAAAGACGTATGCTGAACATTTGTTTGTAATGGGCAGAACCCGGACAGAGCAAAGGCAACTCATGATGTCTTTTGCTAAGGAAGATCCAAGTATAACCTCGCTAGTTAAGAAAATGGATGAACTCGAGATATCTTTGTTGAGACGAGTCAAAGAAAGAAAATATATCTTTTTTTGGTGGGGCATATTGGTAGATACGAGTATCTTCCCCTGGATCGAGTCAAGATTTGATGATGGTCATGACTATGCGATCATGAGGGTAAGGGTAGCTAAAGTTTAAGATCTTGTTGTGTGAACAAGGCGAGTGTTAGTATGATTTGAGTGTTAGCAATATGATTTTGCCCTTATCTGATTTAAGCTTTCTTGAACTATAATCTGATGATTCATTGTTTGTCATGCGTGTCAGACTGACATCGACATCATGGCATGAGAAAGTGGTTTCGCCAAGATCTTGCTTTGGAGGAGCTCATGCCTCACGAAAGTGTTGTTGTGCGAGTCGATGCATGCCTCGATGATCCAAATTTCCAAACCCTGTTGATTTAAGGGAGAGACCTGTATTACTTCTTATGCGGCTACCTTAACTTTAACCTCGCAAATATGTGGGACGGGAGAGTCATGTCGAGTATGCTACCGTTATTCATTTGTGCGAACCTAAGTGAGGAAGTAAACACTTTTGTGTTGAAATTACGGACGTGGAGTAAACTCAAGACCTTAATGAGGGAAAGGTTTTCGAAAGAGGACGATGTCATTCAACATCGAGAAATTTGTCGAACTCTGCCAAGAGGATATCCGTTATTACACCAAGATCAACACCGGGGGCCGTTTGACGGGGGTTCATGCTGTGAGGGTCGCAGCGGGCCCAACATCCCCTTCCCCTGGTTATCGCAGCGGTAGGCTCGGCCCGACGGTCGAGTATAGGTCGCACATTTTCGTGCACTTTTTTCTTTTGTGGCTGGTTGTTTCGGTTGGTGAACGGACACTCACTCTTTAGTGGGTTTTAGGATTCGACTGACTACCCGTGATCAGACAGCGCCTGTGGTAAGTGGCGAGGACAATGGGCGCGGTTAGCATAGCGGGTAAGGAAGGGT